AGCACCTGCTTCTTCATCAGTCCACATCAGTCTGACCAACAAATCAAAAGGACTCTGTGCATGTTTATAAATATTCTATATATAATAAAATGCATCACAACTACCTGAAATGTAACTCATGTGTGTTTTTATGTACATGTAGAGTCTCGTTTACAACAAAAGTGCATTGTAATTCTGTATAATGTTACACACTGTGTGCATGTGTGTTGTGGGTATTTTGTGCTATGAAATCTCATTGTAGTCATAATCTTTGCAAGGGTCTTGGAGAATTAAAGTATAGGAGCAGTTTACACCTGTTGAAATGTGTTTTAAAATCAAACCTTCCAGGTTTGCTGTATCTTCATGTTTTCAACTGTACAATGGGGCTGGCATTATCCTTCGATAAAACTGTCAGAAAGTTCAAATGTGAGGACAAATGTCCAGAAATGAATGAGAAGCACTGGGAATGTAAACCTCTGGAGTCCTTAGGTACCACTGTTGTTATCTATAAGGCTTCTACTTACAAGGTCTATTGCGAGGTCAGGATTTATTATGATTCCAGGATTGTAAAGACTTTCTTCTACAAATGTATGCATGCCTAGCTTCAGATGAATTTGCTAATAGGTTTCCATTTCACCAAAGTTAAAAAGGAAAACCAACTCAGTAGTGATCTGACCACTGAAGTATCCAACCCTGCCAGAATTTATAGTACTTTGACTCTACCAAGAAGTAGAGATTCAGAATCTAACCATAGGATACAATCACTATTAATATTTTAAAGCTGATTGGTGGGAAAAATGTACTAAGTGCTTTTAGACCAAGTTGGCCAATTCAAAAGGCTCTCGGTGCAAATAAAGATGATCTTTGTGGTTCTCCCTGTAGTGTGCCAAGACTCAAGCTGCCTGGCTTCAGTGGTGATATAGTTTGCAGAGAGAAGAGCTTCCAGAGTGTAGAGTAGGATTCCTAAATAAAGCTATTACCTACTCCTGATAATAGAAGATATAATGAACAGCTCTGGTCGATAAATAAAAATTGTTGAGAAACAGAAGAACCCATGTGATCCTGGTGAACTGCAGTACATTCACAAATAGTACCCTGGCTTGTTTCACAATTTTGCTGCTTTCTTTGAATCATTGTACCAAGGGTTTTGTTTAATTTTTAATTTCTATTTAGTCATTATTTGGAGTTCTTAACTCTAAATATTTGTCATATCATGGTGATATTCTCCACCAATGAATTATTGCTATAAGATAAATAGATCAATGACCTAGTCCCAGTTTTTATCTAGCTGTGGTATTTAGGAGAGTTGTCACCCCTCAACTATGGGACGACATGAAAATATTGGTGGGAGCATGAAAATATCCATTTCTGAGTTGTTTTGGACAAAACCTTTAAAATGTTTCTTAGGTTTCTTGGTGTCCCAGTGTTATCCTTAAGTCTTCTTTGGGATGATCTTCAACTACCTCTTAGGCATCCATGTAAAAATTTGGGTTCTACTTTCTTCTGCTAGGTAGTTCTCCTTTGAGAATATCTTGAGTTCTTTCTCCATGGCAGCTGTATGTAGCTTTGTGTGTATAGGGAACTTCATGAGTTGAATGGTCGAGTCTTGGGGACTCAGTGTCACCTCTGAGCTGCTTGGTTAGGAGTATCTGCTAAAACTCACTAATGCTCAGCTTGCCCTTAACTTGGTAGGGAGAACGGGCATGGATTTTTTTCTCATTAGTGCCACTGTCTGCCATCTGTCCTAGTGTGTTTTCCATTTCTATAGCAAAATACTCAAGTCTGAGTATTTTATAAATAAAAGAGGTTTAGCTTATAGTTCTGGAGATCTAAGAGCATGGGGCTGGCTTCTGTTTGGCTCTGATGAGGGCCAACATGACAGACAGCATCATAATGGGAGCACACTGAAGAAAGAGAGGTCACATGGCAAGACAGGAAGCAAGAGAGATCCAGGATCTAGGCTTGTTCCTTTCATAACAGCTTGCTCTCACAGAAGCTAACCAGTGTCCCATGAGAACTCTGTTAATCCAGTTCAAAGACAGTGCCCCCAAGGGCCTAACCACTTCCTATTAGGACCTATCCTTCCCACCATCCCCCTCATAGTGGCCATCAAACCCAGGAGCCACATCTCCAGCCCTTTGTGAAAAATTTTAAAATTTTGAAACAAGATCTTACTAATTCACTAATGCCCAAGCTAGGCTTCAATGTGCAGTCCTCTTGCCTCAGCCCCTAAGAGTGCTGGTGTGTGTCACAACACCAAGCTAGACCTACATCTTAAAGATTCCACCATCTCTCAACATTGCCACACTGGGAACCAGGCTTCTAGTGCATGGACCTTTGAGGAACCTACTGAAATCAAATCCCAAACATAGTGACATCCTAATCCTGCCCTCCATCTACACTCCAACTCCAAGGTGATAAACCATTTTGGTTGCTCCTATAATCCTAAATTTATATTAGACATGTTATTTTCAGTGCTGTTTTCCACCAACCTCAGGGCCTTCTGTGTTTCCAGGGGAGAGGTACACCATCCCTATGGGTACAACTGGGTGATAGTAGAAATGTAGGAGAGGTATCACACTGGCGCCTCTTTCTCTTTCTTGGTGCTCTTGATGCTTTTAGGATGCCAAGAAGGGCCATAGCCAAGTGCACTTTTCTAGTCATTCATTTTGTTCTTAACTCCAGTCTCCAAGAGTTTGCATGCTGTCTTCTGCAAGTGGGAAAGTGGATCAAATTGAGCCTTGTGTTGGGCACAAGAGTAGAAACAAAGAAACATAAACGTTCTGAAAGTCCACAATTACTTCGGACAAAGGCCGGGTGAAGCAGTAAGATTGCATATAGTTCAGTTCTGCTTTCCCTGTGCCTTGTGCTGGCGTGTCACTGGTGGTATTGCGATGATGTGGCTCTTGCCTTAGGAAGGCATGGAGTGTCAGGGATCAAAATGCACACAAGAACCCACAAAGCAGGCACCCCTTGAGCAGAGTCTTGAAAGAGAAGTGGGGTTTGGACCTGTGGAGAATGGAAGTGGCCTTCAGGAACAGGGTAGGTAGGTCAAGCAAGGGCACAGAAGCCCCACAGAAAGAAGTCTTTGTGCAGAGGCCATCTGGTGTTGGGTGTGGTACAGGCAAAGGGGAGGATGCTGTAGAGGAGACTTAACAGATGCTTGGGATGGACCACAAAGGTCCTTATTGTCCTGAGGGTGGGTGGACATCAAGGATTTGAGGGAAAGAAATCACAAGCTGAGCTTCTCCTTAAGGTACTCACTCTGGTGTCCTTGGAAAAGACAGACAGGAAGTGAAGAACTGGAGGCATGGGAGCCTCTCTGGGGACTGCTGGGCTCACAGTCCAGGCAAGAGGCTGGACACACATCACGGGGCTCTGAAGGGCATACTGCAAAGAGAAAGATCTGACAGGTAGAAATGATTGGTTCTGGAGCCTCGTTGGCTATGAGGAAGAAGAAGGAGAGCAAGAAAAAGAACTCATGAAACTTACTAAGAGAGAAACAAGGATGTGGCATTGAATGAAATTTGATGGAAAAGTAGTGAGCTTCAGGTCCCAACATTTGGTGGCTTCTGGTTTCTCAGGAACAAGACTTTTTTGCTAGGACTTCTGCTGTGACTACTCTAGAAAAAGTGCTGACTTTGGTGTTTGGGTGTTTTCTGGGATATGTGCTTGGGCCCATTTATTTACTTGTTTATTTTTCTGAGCAAATGAAGCCCAGCCCTGGCCCTTGACCTCTGGGTGACAGGTGGGACCGCACTCATGAGGTTCCAAGAGTGGGACTTCCACACTGCCCAGCACCAGGGCAAAGGAAAGGACTCCATTGTAACTTCCTAAGCCAGAATCTTCACTGTATCTTCAAGATGGCGGATGTATGTGTATATGTGTGTCTGTTTGGGGCCGAGAGATCAAACTCAGAGGTGTAGGTAGGTTTCCATGAAAATCCATCTTCTGTTCTAAATTAGAAGCTTTCTAGAAAAGTTTCATTGCAGGAAGCAATATTCAAAATCTAACTTGTTTAAAACTCCTGCTGGCCTTGATTGTCCTATCAGCCTGGTCCCTGCCTTGGTACTTTCTGCTATTTCCCTGGTTACTCTCAGCTTCCACAAATCCCTCCTGCTCAGTCGTTCCAACTCTGCTTCAGAGCAGGGTTTGGTTTATATTCCTCTTTCACTCCACCCTTCAAACTCCTTCCCTTGCTTCACTCACCAATACAGAGTTCACCAGAGGATAAGAAAGTGACTGGCTTTGCACTGAGCCCTGAGTTAGACTCTCAGTTGGAGGGGTTTATGGTTTCCATGAAGAACTAGAATTTGCAAAGTATAGTTTGTGGGCTAAATCTGCCTATAGTTTGTTTTTGTACAGCCAGTGAGCTAAGAATGGTTTCTACATTTTTTTAATGGTTGAAAGAAAAATCCTAAAGGAGAATATTTTATCATACCTGAAAATTAAAGGAAATTCAACTTTCAGTGTCTTTAAGCTAAGTTTTAAATTTCGCCATAAAAAGTTGGGGTAATTTGTTTCCTTTCTCATTCTGTATTTACATAATATTTTTGGTTTCATTTCTTGGCTTACAGTATTTACTATCTAACCCTTTATAGAAAAAGTTCCAGGTCTTAGGTGATTTCTCTTCTGTCCTCTAGGAATTCTGGATTAAAGATGCTCAGAGAGGATGGCAAGTTCAAACCCAGGCTGAGCAATTCAGTGTCTTAGCAAGACCCTGTCTCAAAATTAAAAACATAAAAACAAAATAAAACAAAAAATAAAAAACAAAAACAGCTGAGGATGTAGCTCAGTGTGAAGGCTTTGGGTTTAATCCCCAGTACCAAAAAAAAAAAAAAAAAGGAATTTGGGTAGAATGGAAAGATCCTTCAAATCTCAGTTTATGTACTTTTCTATCTTTTATTGATTGTTGCAAAGCAATAATATTAATGATATTGGCAATGATGATCATGACCCTTGGGGCACGGGGTGGGCAGGGTATGAGCATAGACTTGACTAGCCACTTTTTCTTCCCTTAGGTCACAGGCCTTTCCAGTGCCGCTACTGTCCGTACAGTGCCTCTCAGAAGGGGAATCTGAAGACCCATGTCCTCTGCGTCCATCGCATGCCTTTCGACAACAGCCAGTATCCTGACCGCAGGTTCAAGCGCTCCAGGGTTGACTCAGAGGCGTCTGGGAATTTTGAGGAGCCCACACCTGTCAAGGCGGGGAGCTCAGTGGAGCTAACAGAGGAGGGTGCCAGGGTCCAGGAGGAGAGCAACTGAGCAGACCCACTGTACATTGCAATATTATTTTCCACAGTTCTAAGATGATGCATCTGTTAAGAGTTCACTGCATTCCAAGGGGAAAAATCATGTACAATCCCTCTCACTAGTGTATAGAACATTTAAAGAAATTTTAAAAGATATCTATATATATATTAAAAAAAAAATCCCCCAGCCCTTGAACATGGCTGCTAAACTGTTACCCGGCAACAAGTACTTCCAAACAATGCAGGTGGGAGAAAAAGTGATTTCAAAAATGCTTGGTGTCTTTAGAGCTCGGTAAAGCTGGGGGCCCTTCCAACTCGAAAAATAATGCTCTTAACCGAAAAGCGATATCATCTAAATCATTTAGCATTGCCTTGAAGACGGAGGGGCTGTGTTTTCGCTGTTGAAAACACCTCTATAATCTGACACCAGCTGCTGTCATTTGCCTAGCACCCTAATGAGATGTGTGGGGAGGCAGCTGCGGTGCCAGTCAGACTGGAGAGGTCACTGCAGAGAAAATCAATTCGAGTGGTGTCCTTCTACACTCCCGGAGAAACCTTAGAAGGGCCGCAGCCAGCGCCAGGGCTGACCGACACTGCAGAGCATTGCGATCTTAAATGTGCATTTAAAAAAAAATACACAGCCAAATGAATCAATGGTCAGGAAGTGTCTGCAGACAAATGTCCATTGCAGGTTTGATGAGTAATTCCTTTTTTTTTTTTAGCTCAAATTGCAGTATTGAGAGATATGGGTTTTTTTCCCCCTCCTTGCTTGTCTTTTTAATTTTTAAAAAAATTTTTGGATGAAGAAGATGGATATTAAAAATAAATTGTAGGGTACGTTGCATAAAATGTTAGGAAAACTGGCCATCCCTATCCATAGACAGTACTGGTGAGAAATTGCAATTTATGTGAAAATAGAAAGATTTTATTATGATTTTAAAAATTTTACTTGAATGAAGGCTGCTCCGGTCTCTGTTATCAGATGTTTTTTTCATGTGTTAGTTTTTGTAAGTGTCGCAGACACGAAGCACTATTTTCTTCTCCAGCACGCTCTTATGAAATAGCTGGTATTAAAGTATGAATCTAAACATCCTGCTCTCTATCTTTAATGAAGAAAACTGTTTGAGTTGAAATGTCTGTTTTTGTAAAACAAATGTGTTCTATATTTTTGTAGATTTTAGATTTTCTACTGATTGGATACTCCAAATTTATCAAGTTCTGCACCACACAAAGGGAGATTTTGAGGGACCATAATGAAACACTTAACTGATTTTTTAAAAAAGACTGATTTAAGAAAACTAGCTAAAGGTTTATTCTTGAATCTGCTCCAATGATGTAAAAGTTCCGCCTTTTCACATGCTTCCTTTGAGTGACACAAAATTGGTGCTGCTGCTTGTGATGGTAGAGAAGTATTGAAGTATTAACTTCTAAAACAAAATCATTCAGACTTAAAAAAAAAAAAGTCAATCTTTCCTTTCAGGCTGGGAGCACACAATAAAACCCCAGGGCCTTAAAAACTTCAGCTCTGCCTACAGCAGTTTACAAAAATACTAAACTGCAATCAATGTAAATAAAATTCTTAGCGCTATCCTGAGACCAGAAAGAATCTCAGGCTAATAAGGAATCCGGTTTGCATATGCTGTCAAAGAGTGTCATCTAACCGAGGTTTCAGTGCAAATGAGGTCTCTACTCAGCTCAGACCCATCTGGCATAGAGCAAGCTGCTTTCTTGTTTTCCTAGTCTAGTTCTCACTGCCTTACTTAAATCGAGTTGATAAACTTAATGCAACTGTTTCTACGATCCTAGAGAAAGGACTGAAAATGTTATTGGAAACTTTCTGACTGTAGTAAGCTTTAGGATTTTAACTGCACTACTGTGTTTGGTGACTCTGCCAGTCGCTTGCTTTCTGTGTGTTTGCCCTGCCTTTGGTATCTTAGCAAAGAAAAAGAAAAAAAAAAGAAAAAAGAAGAAAAAAAACAAGAAAAAAGAAAAAAAAAGTGGAAAAAAATGAGAGCCACATTCCATTTCTAGCACTTTGGGAGCTCTTTCAGTATTCTTGTGTCTTCTGGGCATCGTCAGATGCGACAGGCAATAATTCTGTTTGTGACATGGGGAACTTCCCCTCTTCTTTGTGGCGTGTGTGTTGATTCCATTTTGTCCAGTGCTACCATCCTTACCCCCGCTCTGACACAGGCCTTCTTTCCAGAACATTTGTAACTTGTAATACAAACAAGTGACAGCCGCAGTGATGCCATGTCAGGTTCTGAATGTCATCAGGTTCTCATATCTAAACATGTCAAGTTTTTTCCCTGTAACTTCTGTAGTCTGTGATGCTGGTCATAATACTGTCTACATTCCTACGCAAAGAAAAAAAAAATCTATCTTGGAGGAAATCTGAGATCAATAGAGTAGAGGATTTTGTTGCTATGCTTGTAACAAGTAGAAAACTTTGTATTTAAAGTTTATTCTTGGTCATTATTTATTATTATAATACATCAGTTGACAGAACTTTATTCTGGTATAGAAAGTATTAAAAGTTGTTTTTTCAGCAATGACTGTTTTCTTTCTGCTGTTAGAATAAAATGTCTTTGAAGCAGTCCAGTTTTATCCAGTGTTTTACGCAATGAAACCTCTACCTCCAGGGAAACAACAATAACAACACATCTTTTCCTATTCCCTTTTGTTTACAATGAAGGGTAAAACATATTTTTTTCCAGGTTTGCCAGATTTGGCAAGACTTGGTTAAACTCCACTTATAATATTCCTCATTGCCTTGTACTTTTTTCAAATCGAATGAGTATCTATGTACTTTGAGTGTGTGAGTGTGAGTGTGTGTGTCTAGGAAATACCCTGCTTTAAAGGTTTGCCAACATCAATTTCAATGAGGTAAAACCTATGGAAATACTCATGTTCCTCATATTACCCTAATTAAATAAGGCACTTAGAAAATTATTGGTCGTTATTTTCCTTTACTGATAGAATTAAAAAAAATGTTCAAGGAAGTCTTTTACATCCAAAGTATTAGTGGACAGTCTGAATTTTTCCTCTAGAAGAAAAGGAATAGAACAAAGAATAATGAAGTGTATGGTATCAGAGACTCCAAAAAAAGCAGGACTCTGACAGTGATTTGAGAAGATTTGGAATGTGTGTGCAATACTTGATGTATAAAAGTTCTTTTTGATTATTTTGCGCTTTATTTGGATCTCAAAAACAAGCTTGTGTGGTGAGTGCTGCAGTTATGGAATATAGAGGGTCCTCTGAAATGTTACGGCAAACGCGTGCATCCACGTTTTATAGGGATTTGTAAGTGCTCTAGGTTCCTCCCGGGGTTGAGACTGTCAGTGTCTTTCAGCGAGAAGAGATGAATGAAACATAGTTCTGGCTGTGCTTTATTACAAACAGTGCAGGTGGGGTACAAGGCTACATGAAGGGGATCAGAAAGGAATCTTTAGGGAAGATGGCTCATGTGAAGAAGTTTGAATGAAAGGTTACAACTTTTCCCCAAACATCATACATGATGGATCTGAAACCCCCAGAGGCCAGGCGAGACACCACAGGGGTAAAGGGAGGACAGTAGGCAGGATGGGGTGTCAGGGGGCTGGAGAACAAGACCCTCTGCTGTGGGGCTAGAGGATCCTCAGCAACTGCACTACATCACGATAAAGAATGTGGCATTGGGTCTTCTGAGTTTCTAAAAGGCAGTAGACACCTGGATTTTGATTTAAGTCTTCCAATTGCTCCATGATGGCTCAGAATTCATTTTTTAAAAACTATGCAATGAATGGATGGACAAAATGTGGTGTATCTATACAAAAGAATATTATTCTGCTGTAAAAAAGGAACAAAGCGCCAAAAGGTGTTACAGTGTGGATGACCCATGAAAAAGTCAGTTGTAAAAACATACATGTGATATGGTTCCCTTTATGTGTAGTGCCACTGAGGCAGAAAGTAGATTAATGGTTACTAGGGCCGAGGGGAAGGGAGAGTGAGGTGGGGGCTGACAGCTAAAGGGGGTGAAGTTTCTTTTTGAGGTGACAAAAGTGTTCTAAAATTAGATAGTGAGAATGTTGCCCTACTTTGAGAATATACTAAAACCCACTGAATTGTACATTTTTTGTTGGTGGTATTGTTTTTGTTTTGTGAGACAGGGTCTCGTTATGTAGCCCAGGCTGGCCTTGAACTTAGGCGATCCTTTTGCCTCAGCCTCCCAAGTGCTGGAATTATAGATGTGTGTCACCATGCCCAGCTGAATTGTACATTTTAAAAGGGTGAACTTTATAGTTTGTGACTTGTATCTGAATAAAGCTGTTACAAAAAATAAAATTAAAACTGGAGATAGGCAACATTTTAAAAAAAGCATCCATATGTATTTCCATCAAAATAATTTCGAACTAATGGTCAGAGGTGATTGACAGATTCAGTACAGTGTAAAGAATACAAAATTTGTGGTGTAATTACTCGTTTTTGAACCCTAATTATTTTACTCATTGGCTGCACGACCTTAAACAAATCAACTGTTCTGAGTTCATTGATTGTATATGTAACATTATGAGACCTAAATGCAATAAGGTGGGGAACTTATATGTACATTTTGTGAGGTACTCTACGAATGTTAGGTATTATGCCTATTGTGGCATAATGAGCTATGGATAAATTTAAGATTAATGTTATGCCCACAAAAAGGTATTTGTTAATAAAAACCTCTGTTCTTTGGAAAGGTTCCCTGATGGTTGGGTGGCTGGGATTCCTCCATCCTCACCCCTTTAGACAAATAATCCTGGGCAAATGTCTCAGGTTCTTAGTTTCCAATATCCTCATTTGAAAAATGAGAATATTAACATCTCTCTTGTTATTCTCAAGGAAAGTAAGGAGATGGCTGGGGAAATAGAGAAAGCAATGGGGAAGGACTGGCCTTGGAGTTAGATTGTTCTACTCTCTTGTGTTCTACTCACAAATATATTTTGCGGACCTACTGTGTGCCAGGCATTGGACTCTGAGGTACTTACACACTGGCAAGTTAGCCCATACATCACTCTCTAAGGAGAAAACAAGCTTTAATCAGACAATCAGATATAAATATAAAAGTTCTAGAAGAGGATATTCAAGGACAACAGGACTTTCTCACATGACAGAAGACTTCTTGAGGAATAGATAGCTTGAGAGATGAAGGACACCATTCCAGGCAGTGAAAGCAGCATCTACAAAGCCCCGGCTAGGAGTGGACAGGCTTTCCAGTCCTGTCTCAGCCTCTCTCAGTAGCTGTGTGAACCTGGTTGGTCACTCACTGCATTTCTTCCAATCTGTTGCTTCATCTATAAAGTGGAAAATAGGAATGTGGACAACACAGAACTCTCTCGCTGAAGTTAAATGAGATAGTGTAATAAAGAACTGCATAGAGAGGAAACTAGATGCCACTGGATTTGAAGGACCATTCTTTAAAATGACAATGTCCAGGAACCCCTGAGAACATAGAAGTAGTGGTCTGCAGATGTAGGGATTGCTGATGCTGCTTAGCCAAGATTAAGATCATATTCAATTCACACAATCTCTTCAACAGACTTACAGGATCTGAGAGAAGGTAGTTACCAGATGCCCGCTTAGGCACCTGGGTACCTTAGTGTCCTGGGAAGAACAGTGTCCTAGGCGGCCACTCTAGGTCTTGATATAGCTCCAGATGATCACTCTGTGCCCAGGCTTGGCCAAGCTGAAAGCAACTCCACTTACTGGAGGAGTCTACTTAGGTTGACCGGTTATCCTGGTTTGTCCAGGATTCAGATGTTTCCCAGGACAGTAGACTTTTAGTGTTAAAACCTGGACAGTTCTGTAATGCCCAAATGGTTATCAGCCTAGGTCTAAGCTCATTTCTTCTAAAGGCACATGCCTTGCTAAGCCGAGTGGTCACATGGTCTGTGATCAAGGACTCCCTTTCTGGGGGCGCTTGGGGACCAGGGGGGTCTGAGTGTGGGCTTTGACAATACAAGACTCGTGTCAGAATCTTTACTGCCACAGCACCTTTGCCACAACAATGAAAAGTGACAGCTACACAGAGCATTTAGGAAGAGCCCTGGTGTATGCACAATATTTTGTACATTCTCACCAAGTTACTGGATGGATCTTTGTTCCTACTTCATGGCCAGGTGGGAATGGCTCAAGTATAAATGTCTCTTGCTAGCAGCCAGAAGCTGCTGAGCTGCTGATACCCAGCATTAAGATACTATGTTGTGCTGAGAAACTTTTATAAAGATGATAACCCTGCTGTCTCTAGTAGTTTGGGATTTGTACACTCCCCCCTCTCTGTTTAACATCTGTATTGTAACAGCATATTATGAAAACCTCACCTGGTGTGTTGTAAGCACAATTCCGAGGAAATTAGTATTAAATATTGTGATCTTCATTTCAAGATAGAAGGGCTGGGCACATTCCACTAAACTAGAAGTATGTTTCCATGGGGAAGGAAAAAATTTCATAGGGTAATGCAATATTAAAAATGTCGCCCAGCTGAGCATTCCATGTAGGGGCTTGTAGAGTATTAATCTCTTCACCTGTTGGTGTTAAGAGAAAAGAGAGATACAGGGTGTGTGTGTGTGGGGGGGTAGAAAGACAAGGAGGGAGAGGAAGAGCTTATGTGAGCAAGGGAATCACAAGCAAAGAGGAGGGGGAAAATTTAAATGATCCCAGACCGAACTGTTTTGCTGTTAATACAGAAATACAGTGCAAGACACATTTAATGGGCTCTATTTTTTATTATACTATGCTGAATAATTAAGTTTGAGGCTAAGTGTCACATGGATTTATCTTTTAATTAAAAAAGCATGGTTCACGCATATTTGAGTGGTAGTCCAAATAAATGCAATATAGAAATTTATGTTTGTTTATCTAGGTGTTAATTACCTAGAGATTGTTCTGGATTACTTCTTTTTATAAAGTGTCATAGGCTCGTTGTCAGAAGGAATAAAGCTCGCCCATGGAGCCTTATCAATTTGCTAACTGCAGTGCCCGCCTGACCTGGGGGTGGGGGCTGGGCAGGGGAAAACTTTGGGGCTTGTGTCTACACACCCCCCCATTCAACCCACAGCAAATAAAACAGTCGTTTTAGAAAATATTCCTAGGACATAAAGGCACAAATATATCTTCGCTGTTTTACAGCCTCTTGTCCACAGCTATTTATAAAACATGTGATTATTTATGCGTCAAGTTATGAGAAGTTCGCTGGGAGAGGCGGCAAAGGAGACTCCATCAATCCCTTACCTGCTACCCAGGAGAGGCCCTGTGAAAAGCGGGCCGAGACAGGTGGCTGCTGTGATTTGTCTACAACGCGTCAGCCTTGCCCCAGAAAATCCACCCCGCGGGAGAAAGAGTGACAGCAAAGCTTCAGGTCAGAGGTCACTTTCGTTTTGAAACCAAAGATGCCCCGCAAAGAAGCCACAGCCCCCACAAACTGTTCTTCGTCCCTTCAGGCGGTCCTCGCCTTGTTCTTTGTTTACAAAGTGATTTTAGGTGGCAGGTTCAATCAAAGGGCCTGGAAGAAAACAGAAGCTTTGGTCAAAAGCCTGGACTTCAAAGAAATGGATGTTGCCTGGCCAGGGAGAAGTCCAAGGTGATCCGTAAGCAAGCCTCCATGTTGGGTGCACACTTTTGTCCCGAAGATTTCTTT